ACCCCACAGGGAAGCTCCCTCTGAACTCTGGGACAGGCATTTCCGAGAGACCTGGGACAGGTGTCAGAGAGGTTCAAGCCAGAGAACTCAGGCCAGGCGTCCACGGGGCAGCCCCCATACACCAGGGACAGCTGAGGCTGCTGGACTCCCAGATGTCGTCAGGAAGGGGCACCTAGGGGACAGGGGAGGCCACCCACCCCAGGAGGCGCTGGCCATGGCAAAGCCCCACCCTCTGAGGGGGAAGCCTCCCCAGGGGACAGAGACCGGCCTGGATGGCAGCCAGGAGCCCTTCCTTCCGGAAGCGCCCACGTGGGCAGTGCTGCTCCCGTGCATCCGCAGAAGCGCGGAGCGGGCGCCCTGACACAAATCTTTTACTGGGCGCTCAATTAGCGCGTTTGGCAGGTGGTCAGATGCCCCCCGGAGAGCAGCCCCGGGAGAGAGCTCATTACCCGAGATCCCACACCTGGTGCCCGCAAGGCCCCTGGGGAATTAGCTCTGAGCCGTGATTTACGGCCCCTCCCTTTGTCCTTTCCTGAAGGAGACAAGGTTCTCTGGGCCTGTGTGATGGCCGCCCCGAGGGCCTGGGCCTCTGCAGTCACCACAGCTGGCTGCCTCCTCCTGGGAGCCCCTCCAGATTTAGGCAACTGCTGTGTGCCCCTGGCCAGGCTCCTGTCTGCACCGGGGCATGGAGTGGGGTGGGGTGATTTCAGCAGGGACCTCTTCAGGTGGGGGGTACTGGCCCTGCTTGCTGGGTGTGTAGGTCTGGCCCAGCGTGCCCCCAGCGTGGGTGTGGCTGCAGGCAACAGGTGGCCACAGGTGTCCTCTCAGGAAAGGCTCCCCAAAGCGGGAGGGCAGGCAGGCCTGGGGTAGGGAGGGGGCTCAGTCTTTAGTTCAACCAGACTCACGTAGGACGTTTCCTCCTGGAGCGCCAAGCTGCCTCTGTTGGGAAGTCGTTCACTCAAGCTTTCATTCATTCATTCATTCATTCATTCATTACAGCTCTTCACAGCCTGGGCCCCTGGCGCGTGGGTGCCTGTCCTGACCAGGGACCCTGCAGGATGCTCGGAAAGGAAGGAGGCACCTATGGGCCATTTGCAAGGAGAGCGAGAGGTTGAGGTCTGGGCTGCACACCCGGGGGGTTCTGAGGGTGGGTCTGGAAGGAGAGGAGGAAGTCCAGGTGGGGGCTGCCAGGTGAACTAAGGAGGGCGGAGGCACCACCATGAGCAGCAAATGAAGGTAACGGAGGTGTGTGTGTCGGCAGAAGGGGGGACATGTGCACACGTGGCACCTCGAAGCAGCCACATCTGCCCTGTGCACATCTGTCCCAAAAGCGGAGGGTGGCCCCGTGTCATGCCAGTTGTCCGGGAAGCCACACGGGACCCGCGGGTCCCGCACACCCATGTGGTTCTGGGAGCCAATGAAAGGGCTCCCTTCAGAAACTTCTGTCAGATCTGGGTG